TGAATTTTTTCATCATGACATTTTTTTTTTGACTTGTGTTCTCCTAACTGTTTGCTGTGTTCTGGACAATATTTTTTACAATTATTACAAGTATCTTTCCAATTACTTTTTGCTTTTCTTTCTTTTTTTTCCACTGCCGCCTTCTCTCCATTAACTAAATTATAGTCAGAAATTTTTTCCTCGCGGCGCCGAATCACGCTTTCACGAACTTCGTTATTATTAGTATCGGCCAAAATTTTTTCCACCAAAGAAGTAGCGAGTTTTTTTGTTAACTCACCAGAAAGTTCTATTTTTGCTCGTTCAAACAACATTTTTTTCTCTTCAATCGGCAAACCTGAATCTAAAATTGAACTTACTAATTCATCTCTTTTTTTCTTTAGCCGGTCACTAACTTCCTCTTTCTCTGTTTGGATTTTTTCTAATTCAGCCCAATGAGTTCGGCAGTAGGGAATTTTTTCGTGGTCAAAAATTTGGGCTCATCCCGAATTTAACAGTTTTTTCGAACAAGTATTATCATCCCGTAGCAAAAGACAAATCAAGTTTTCTTTGGTTTTGCTAACTAGCAAATCGACTATTTGCTCGCAATTTATTTGTCTTCGCAAATTTTGGCGGAAAAATTGAGGATTACCACAATCTCCACAATTTTTTACTGCTTGCTGCAATTCCCGAAACTGCGAACATTTCATATAAGCCTTAACTCCTTGGGATTTATCGCAGCAGTCAGCAAGGCGGTGTTTTTCAAGTTGAGTTTGATGGAGAGGACAATGACTAACTCTCTTTTTGCCATAAACAGAAATTTTGTAGTTTTTCACTTCCTTGTTTTGGTTAGCTTCAAAATTTTTCACTTCCTTTTTGAAAATTACTTGCACCTCATCATTTTTATCAATTAAAGCAGTTTTAACGATTTGGTCTTCGCCACCTAGCCAAGTATTACCACAATCTCCACAATTTTTTACTGCTTGCTGCAATTCCCGAAACTGCGAACATTTCATATAAGCCTTAACTCCTTGGGATTTATCGCAGCAGTCAGCAAGGCGGTGTTTTTCAAGTTGAGTTTGATGGAGAGGACATTTTCCTTTGCGGTAAAGATTAATCATTTTTTTTCCCGCTTTACCTATTTTTTGTAACTTTTCAGTGGCTCAACATTTAATTTTGCCTTTTTTAGTGATAATTAGGAGCCATTTGTCCCGTAATTTTTCTGGAATGAGCAAAGTCGCAGTAATAAATTCCCGGTTTCTTAGCTTGAGACCATATTCTTCTCTTAAATTAGTGCTTTTATTGATAGCGGAAAACTTGTAAAAATTAATGACGTATAGTTGACCGTAATTTGAAAAAATTCACAAATCATCACGACGACACAGTTTAACAAAATTTAGATTATCCCCTCGGGTTTTTAATTCTTTCCCTTGGCTAGGCATATTAGTGGCTTCTATGGCCTCCAAATCGTAAACATTTAAATAAATATTAATTGATTTATCTTTTTTATTTTCATTTTGACTGAGAATAGCAACTCTTTCTTCGTGCGGAATTAACTCTCGTTCTTCAATAATGTGTTTTTCGTCACTAAATTGGGTGCGACGCAGGTCGTGAGCATAAACTTTTTGTAATTCTTGCAACTCCGCAATTAGTTTTTGCTTCCTGCTTTCTTGGTCAGTAATTAATGACTGTAATTCGGCAATTTCTTGATGACGGTCGGCAATTTCCTTTTGCAGTTTTTCTCGTCTTTCCAGGGTAAATTGACGGAAACTGGCTGGAGTATCTAAGATTCTATCAATAACTTCTTGTTCGGGGTTAGGAAAAATTTCTGGTTCGGCAGGTGTTACCGATAATTCTTCGTAATTGAGGTTGCTTACCTTCTCCTTAAGTTCATTTATTTCTCTTTCTTTGTGGTGATAACTTTTTTCGTCCTTATAATTATCAATTTGTCGGAGCAAATTAGTTAATTCCCGATACTTCTCCTGCTCGGCGGCCCCGCTTTTTCGATGATTTTTTTTTCAAATTATATTGAGTATTTTTTCGGCTTGGCTAATTAATTCGATTAGCAATAAGTTGAGAGTCAAGTTCTTTAATTCAGATAAATCTTCCCGGAACCTAGCAAGTAATTCTTTCTTGCTTTGTTCTTCAGAAGAACTATTACGGATTATTTGAGCTATTTCCTGGTAATTTTCGACAATAAAACACCGAGTTTCTAAATTAAGCAATTCTTTTTGGTTCTTGCGATATAAAAAATGTGCTTTCTTTTTAATATTTTCTAAGCGTTTATCGATAAATCCTTGGAGCGTTTTACGTAACGGGAAAATGTCAGGTTGCTCGGCAATTAAAGCACGCATTTTAACGCTAAATGTGCTTTGTAAAGCAGTGCGACGATAAAGCTTATTGAGAATTATCTGGCCGTCGTAATCAGGGTTAAATTTTAAGTGAATATTTACCCTTTCTTCTCAGTTGGAGTAATCAGCAACACTTAATAAACCCTCAATCTTATTATCCTTGTCCTTAATAATTTGACCAATTCTTTCCACTAATTTGGCTTTGTTAACCTTGAAAGGCAGTTCCGTAATATGAATTAAGTCTTTCTTTTCTTTATCCTTTCTTGAAGAAATGACTTCGGCTTTACCCCGAATATGAATGGTTCCTTCTCCTCGCTCGTAAATATCCAGTAAATTTTCGCGGTCTAAAATTATTCCTCCGCCGGGAAAATCTGGTCCAACGAGACTAGTTTCTATTTTCTCACTGCGACAGTTAGGACACTGTTTAATTAATCCTCTCCCTGCTTTTTGGCAAACCGGACATTTTCATTTGCCGATTAATTCAGCCGTGGAAGAGTCCGGCTGATTAATGAGATTAATAGTCATCTCCACAATTTCGCCTAAGTTATGAGGGGGAATATTGGTGCTCATTCCTACGGCAATCCCGCTCGAGCCATTAAGAAGCAAATTGAGATTAGCTGGTAATATTTTTGGCTCTTGACGAGTTTCATCGTAGTTGTCAACTCATTCCACAGTTTCAAAAGGCAAGTCTTCTAAAAGGTATGAGCCAAAAGGACTTAAACGAGCTTCGGTGTAACGCATGGCGGCTGCCGGGTCACCGTCTAGTGAGCCTCAGTTACCTTGTCCGTCAATTAGCGGATAACGATAATTGAAATCTTGGGCCATCTTGACCATAGCTTGGTAAACACTTTCGGTGCCGTGAGGATGATAATTACCTGTTACATCTCCGGCTACCTTTGAAGATTTCCGGTGCGATTTATTCGGTCCAAGATTTAATTCGTAAAGGGTGTAAAGTATCCTTCTTTGCACTGGCTTCAAGCCGTCATGTAACTGGGGCAAAGCCCGTTCTTCCACCACTTCGTAAGCATAAGTTAGAAATTTAACTAGTAAAGCCTGGTCAATTTCAATTTGATTATTTTCCTTAACTGTTACTTGGGCATGCTTATGTTCTCCGCTTTCGAGACGCTGCTTTCGATAAAGACTTTTAGGACCCATCATTTCTTCAATAATTTGGCGAATAGTGGGAGGGTTAGAATAAAGTAATTCGTGTAGGCAGCGACGCCGCAAAGCCATAGTAGTTTCCCGTAATTGGGGCGGGTTCATTTCTCCCAAACCTTTGAAGCGTTGAATAGTATATCCTTTTTGCTTGTCTCGGCAGTAATCAGTTAATTCCTGGTCACTATAAAGGTATTTGACTTCTTTCTTATTTTGAACTTTGTAGAGAGGCGGCACCGCTAGAAATAAGCGGTGTTCTTCAATTAAATAACGAAAATAACGAGCGAAAAAAGCCAAGGCTAAACATTCAATATGTTTTCCGTCAGCATCCGCGTCGGTCATAATAACCACTTTTCCGTAACGCAGCTTTTTCAGCAAACTTACTCGAGTTTTGTCAACTATGATTTGTAGTTGTTCAGAAGCTAAGGGTTGGTAAGCAGAAATAGTGTTCTTTTGTCCTTGTTCATCCTCGTAAATAAAATCCTCAGTAATTTGCAAGTCATCAGTTGAGAACTCAGTTTCTAACTTAGGCTGAAACCGATTATAATAATTCTGAGTGGCTTCATTAACACTAAAACCTAAGGCGTTGGTTAAATTTTTAATCTCTTCATTTTTAAAAATTTTAATTCGTTCAGATTTTTCAACATTAATAATCTTTCCTTTCAAGGCTAGGACGGCCTGAATGTTAGGGTCACGACCCGATTTGGCACTACCCCCGGCCGATTCTCCTTCAACGATAAATAACTCGTTCTCTTCTGGTTTTTTCGAAATACAATCTGCTAGTTTTCCCGGTAAGATAGTGGTCTGCCTTCCCTCCCGCAACAGCATTTGGTGTTCCTCGGTTTTGACTCTAATTTGAGCCGTGTCAATAATCTTGCGAACAATATTTTCTGCAGTTGCTCCGTGGTCTTGAAAAAACCTTCGCACCAAATCTAAGGTGATGTTTTTCACAATTTCTCGCACTTTTTTGTTGGCTAATCGATCCTTGGTTTGCCCAGTGAATTCAGGTTCAGTCATCCGCACCGCAACAATAGCCGTTAAACTTTCTAAAACGTCTTCTTTGAGAATATTAACTTTTAAACCTGGGTATTTTTCCTTAATTCATTCCCGGCAAGCCAAAGTTAAACCATTTTCAAAGCCCTCAGCATGAGTGCCTCCGCCCGCCGTGCTAATATTATTACAAAAAGATTTGATTATATTCTTGTGGTATTCTCGATTATACTGGAAAGCAAAATTAAGGTAAAAATAATTTTCTGGGTCAGGAGAAGTTCATTCTTCGACACAAATTTCCGTGTTTTCCAAAGTCTTTTCTTGGTTGATGGCTTGGACTCAACCAGCCAAACCGGTTTCAAAATGATAGACAGTTGGCTCGGCTTCAGGATTGGGAAAGAAAAGCAAAGTAAGCTTGGGATTAAGGTAAGCTAATTCTTGGAGACGATTTTGAATATTTTCAGCTTTGAAGTGAGTAAATTCACGAAAAATTTTGTGATCCGGAGTAAAGACAATGGCAATACCATTTTTAACTTCTGGGGTATCAGTAATTTCGGAATTTACCAAAATACCTTCTTGAAACTCTAAAAATTCGGTTCGTTCTTCCCTTCTGCTTCAAACTTTTAAGTTTGATGATAAGGCATTAACAGCCGTCACTCCTACTCCGTGAAGACCGCCTGAAGTTTTGTAAACTTTATTATCAAATTTACCTCCGGAGTGAAGCACGGTAAAAATGGTTTCCAGCGTGCTTTTTTGAGTTTCGGGATGGATTTCAATCGGAATTCCCCGCCCATTATCTTCAACAGTAATAGTTCTTTGGTCGGAAGAGAGTATTATTTTCACTTCACTACAATAACCAGCCACAGCTTCGTCAATAGAGTTGTCAATTACTTCTTGAAAAAGATGATGCCAACCTTGTTCGTCGGTAGAACCAACATACATGCCCGGTCGCTTGCGAACCGCTTCAATATTTTCTAAAACTTGAATGTCTTTGGCGCTATACTGATCTTTTTTTTTCTCTTCTGCGGTCATGCGATTAGCAAATTAAACTCTATTAATATATGTTTTATCAAATTACTGACGGAAAGAAAATCTCGTTTCTCCGAAAGTTAATTTTCCAAACTGAGTGGTTATTCTCTCTCTCTCTCTCTCTCTCGCTGATTGTTAACTTCTGCCGAATTTACCAACAAACGTTTTTCCTTTATAATTTGTAGTAATTCTTCCCAAGGAATAGCAATAGTAGTGAGTTTTTTACAAATAACGCTGGTTCAATAAAAATATTGAGAAAGGACGGCTATTGTCACTATTGACCCCAGCAAAGAAAGGTCAATATTCTGCGGGTCAATAAGTCCTAGCTGTCAAAGGACAAAAAGTAACAAAACTCCGCCTCCGTAGCGGAGAATTTGGACTATTCGACGTCCACGCGGTTGCGAGAAAAAATTTAATTTTAATTGAGTGAACTTAGTTTTTAACATATTAATAAATATTAATAAACTTAAAAGTAATAACTAAATAAAAATTATGACAAAAAAAAAAAATTAAGCAAGAAGCAGAAAAACCACAAATAAACCAAAAACTTTCCTCTAAAAAAATTTTGGCGATTACCAAAATTAAAAACATGAATGAAAAATTGTTAAAAGCCTTAATTTTTGACTTACTTTATAGTCGTTATTACGGAGTAATTGTTTATGTGCGGATTTTTCGGGGTGAATTAGTCAAAAAACAAAAAATCAAATTTAGCCGCAACCAAAAAGTTTACCAAGTGGAAAGATTGGGAGTAAAAACTCCCCAAGAAATTTTAAAAGAAAAATTAGGAACGGGCGAAATTGGCTGATTTACCGCAAATATTCGAGATATACGGGAAGTGAAAGTAGGCGAAACGGTGCTAGATATTAATAATGATTCTCCGCCGTTGGCGGGTTATCAAGAAAGTAAACCTAACGTTTATTCTAATTTGTATCCGGGTGATAGTTCGCAGTATAAGGAGTTTGGGAAAGCTTTGGTCGAATTACAAGTCCAAGATAGTAGTTTAAGTTTGGAAAAAATTGACTCGCAGTTATTAGGTCCGGGTTTTCGTTGTGGTTTTCTCGGGTTGCTCCACCGAGAAATTATTTGTGAGAGAATGCAAAAAGAATATCAGTGTGAAATAATTATTACTCCTCCTAGTATTACTTACCGGGTAACTTACCAGAATGGTAAAGTTGCTGAGATTATCAATCCGCAAAAAATTCTTCCTAATCAGAAAATAAAACTCATTGAAGAGTTGTTTATTTCTTGTCTTGTCACTACTCCGCTGGAATATCTAGGAACGATATCGCAATTATGCCAAAATAAACGCGGGGTTTGTCAAGACCAAAAATGACAAACCGGCTCGTTATGGCAATTGCATTATCATTTGCCGTTAGGAGAATTTATTCTTGATTTTCACGATAAAATCAAATCAATCTCCCACGGCTATGCTTCTTTTAATTACCAAATCATTGGCTTTCGTCCCAGCAAAATCGTAAAAATAGACTTGTTATTAAACAAGCAAATAGTCGCAGATTTGTCTTTTTTTGTTCACGAAAATTTTGCTTACGAACGAGCCCGATTGCTTTGTGAAAAATTGAAAGTTACCCTCAATCCCCAAAATTTTGTGGTGCCTATCCAGGCCTGCATCGGCAACAAAGTAATCGCTCGGGAAACTTTGCCCGCTTTAAAAAAAAATGTTACCGCCAAACTCTACGGCGGAGACCACACCCGGAAAATGAAACTCTGAGCCAAGCAAAAAGCCGGCAAGAAAAGAATGCAAGAACGTGGTGAAGTCCGGTTAGGAGCCGAAACCCTTCGGGAAATTTTACGCAGCAATAATTACAAATAAACAACAACACTATATTATGTAAAGTAGTTGTCAGTTCTTTATTCAAAAAACCCCCTTGAATACTAGGAACTAGACAAAATTAGCGG